TATATATATATATATATAAAGTAGAGAAAAAATTATTTTCTTCATTAGTAATGCAGCATATCTTGGAATTCCCCTTTTTACATTTTTTAGTTCGTCAATTTGGCATACTTACTTTTATCGTGAAAAACGTTTGTCGGGTAAAACAGCTGGCTGCTGCAACACATAGAATAAAGTATATCATTTCGTTTGTTTTATATATTTAAATTTTTTATTGGTTTTGCTTTTAATATTTCTTGTCAGCAATATCTCACTAGCAACTACTGCCTAGCATTTTATTCTTAATGCGTGCAAAGAATACATATTCAACGCGTAAAATAGTGTAAAATCATTTCACTTGTTTCATCTAGTTAATATTATTAGTTTTGTTCTTAATATTTCTTGTGAGGCATCTCTCACTAGCAGTTACTGCCAAGCATTTCTTGTTGTCTGCAGTTCTCTCTGTACGATTAGTAATCTAAACATTTTCGTAATTCCCAGGGTATATGTCCATAAAATGTCTTCGCTCTTCACTTCTAGTTCTCTTGAAGCGTTTACAAACCCAGTCGTTCTCGCGACAATCTCTTGAAATTCTTTTTTCGATTGGAATTTCCTTCTGAATCAAAGACAAAAAAATATTGTTAAATGTAGTTAAAACCTTGCCATCAAATTGATGCGTGGGTAAGATTTTAGGTTTAACATAAGGATACTTTTAGATGTGTAAGGATAAAGAAAGCAAAAAACAACAACAAACAAACAAACAAAAACAAAAACAAAATAAATCAAATATTGAAATGATTATATAACGATGGAAATTTCAATATAAATAAATAAAATAAGTTTTTATTTCTCTATAGTGAGAGTGTTTTAAAAAAACCCAAATCAATATTTTCAGTTGACTGGTAATATATACATGATTTGGGAAGCACCGGTGGAGTGCGCTGCTATTGCACCGCCTCTCACCAATTCGGCCCGAGTTCGAGTCCTGCCGACCTCGATGTGGTATGTGAGTAGAGTTGTTTATTGGTTCTCTCCTGTGCTTCGAGGGTTTTTCTCCGGGTTCTCCGGTTTTCCTCCCTCCTCAAAAATCAACTTCTAAATTCTAATTCGATCTTTGGGCTTTCATCTAGTTTGGAGCCTAGCTCTGTTGTGATTGTCCCACGCTGTGATACAACAGCGAAAAGCTTTGTAGATTTGTAGTGATACATCTTTGAGATATCAAGGTTTATACTAGTAATATATCAGAGTGAAACATTAAAGGGGGCATTTGAGTTTATTTTTCATCACTTGTACGACACAATCAACACTTTCTCGGCTGCCATTCGATTCAATATTCTAAAACACAACTATCAACTGAAGTTGTTTCTTTTTTTTGAGGATATACATTCAGTAAATTCATCTTGATTTAAATAAAAATCACTCCTAGTACGATAAAACAAACTTGTCGAACTATAATGATGATAATAAAAATAGAAGAAAAAACAGGAATACATCATGATGAAAATCTTTGATGTAAAATACAACTTAGAATGATAATATCAGTATATTATTAACCACTCCCCGCTGTGAATTAGAGGATTGAGAGGTCTGCACTCTTGCTACATGGTGCTTTAATAGAGCTCGTGGTAATTAGGCATTTTAAAGTAATACAGTGAAAATAATCTGGATAATTCTTCACAGATGCTTCTTACATTGGTTTTTTCTTCGTAATATGAATAAAGAAAGAAACGAAAAATCATCCACTGAAATAGCTAAATTTTCAATACCATCACCTTTACATTCTTTCTTTCTTTCTTTCTTTCTTTTTTTTCTTTTTTTTTTTTTTTTTTTCTTCTCCTTCTCTTTTTCATTTTTATCATCATTTTAAATCGATTCTTATGAAAAAAAAATCACGAGAAACCATTTTCCAAGTTTAGAAAGTATTATCGTTAATTCCTCTTTCCACATTAAAATCAAAGCTAACCAAACATGAAAAATAATAATTGAATCCCGTTTCTAAACCCATATACTTCTATCAGCTGGCATGTAAACTAGATTCGTATCGTCGTGCTCCAACTATACCTTTCTTTTGCCGCTAATTTTTGCGCCTTCTGGTAAGCTGAARAAGCATTCTGTCTCTGGTATAACCAAGGCTATAGTCACAACACCGACGAGTAGAAACAAAGGTAACCACTCGATGTACATCTTTGATAATCTTTAGATTGATTCTTTTTGAGTTCCTTAGGACTTCTTTCTGTAGATGTTGAGGTGTATTGCCTTTAAGATCAATAGAGAGTGTAAAGTGAATGATCAGTATGGCACGGCCTAGTGTAAGTGTTTTACTACAAATACCTTTACCGCGTTCTTGTAATTGCCAAATGAATGTGGTTACAGCAACTGAGAGAGCTTTGATTAGCCAACGACAAAACACAAAGACATTCCACGCTATCGTTCGTTCTTTATTATGATTATCTGACTGCAAATCTTTGAGGATATACTAGAAAGATAATCCCGCTAATTACAACCTGAATTAGGCTCGCCATCACATCCTGAAATACTCATGAACTATTTCTAACGTCAGTCTCCGGGACAGAATGTCTTTCAAACGATATTACGTTTTACAACAGACTCAGGCTTATTAGTTTTCATTAGTCTGATAAAAGCTTTGAACTTGCTGCAAAAAAATATTTTTCCTGTCGAGATGGTGGTTTGTGGGTGCTTTATTACTTTATTATTACAATTACTCGAAAGTTGTAAAGTAGCTGATAGCAACGACTCGCCAATTTAGAAGATCATTATCCCAAAACTTGATCCTAACTTCTCGTTGTTCGGGATTTTGTTTTCGTTCGTCTGCCACACGTTTAAAAGCGTATTAATTGCCTGGATTTTGAGTTATTAGATTATAGTTAACCGTGTTCATAACACGACAAGTATGTTCACAACACGACTAGTGTATTCATATTCTAACATGGAATGCAGTTTTCTTAAAGAAGTCAAGCTTAAAACAAAACAATCAATAAAACCTATGTTCTGCATTAGATTTTTGTCTGGAATATTATTTATGAAACGAAACAACGACTTAACGCGAGTTTACCAGACGTTTCTACTTCCTATACTGACCCGCCAAATCCGTATTGCTATGTCTGCGCATGCGTTACAAATAATCTAGCCACACCTCGGCTTTGTCCTTGCCATTTTATTTTGTAAAAAACAGCGGCTTATTTGCGCGGAGAGCCTTTAACTTAAGTAAACCCAATTCAATAAGACACGCTATTTCGCACAGCAGCTCTGGACAACTCAAGTAAAATGAATTAGAGCCATTAATGCCATTAAAGGAATGAAAACTTCGAGTCTAACTATTTCCTGTTGGACCATTCTAGTCAGTGTCCCTAGACTTGGAGTCTAAGCTCCTTCCTGTGGCCTTGGACTGTTTATCACGCGAGATAGTGACCCAATTTCGATTCCATCAGTCCAAGTGCAAACTATATATTTTTTGAGTAAGGAAGATCCATATGTCACTGCTTGCATGTTTTCTTGGGCAACATCGTGCCCTTGGTTTAAGGGTTTTTTTGTACTCATTCCGATTCAAAAAGGCCGATAAAAATATAGTATTAAAAATACTAATATAAAGTTATATAATCTTATATAAAAAAAGAAGAAATATAGAAGGAAATGTATAAGTGAAGTGTACATTGGAGTATTTCATGATTTGAGAGCCTTTCTTTCTTTGGTTAAGAGACCGAAAAGAAAGCCGAATTAAAGGAAGGTATATTACGTAGAATTGATATCTACTCGTGATGTTAATTTTTTAAATTGAAGGCGAAGTAATGAAATTTCTCTTATCGCTCGGCCAAGTCGTTGACGTACAATGCTTATTAGTAGTCATTTTACAAACTACCTTCAAAACTACTCTCCGTCTTGACTTTACCTTGACTGACATTGAAAAAAATCTTTCATTTCAGTATCGAACCTGATTGCGCTAATCAAGAACTAATGATAAGTAATGAAATAAGTGATGAATCATTTCTCAAATATTCCCAATTCTTTTAGCAATTCCTCGTCGATTTGAACGCCGACAAAGGTTATCGTGCAAGAAAAATGCTTTAAATATTTGAAACATTGAGGAAGTTCTTTGTTCGTCAATAATTTTGCTTCAATAGTTGTAACCGCTATTGGAGTGGTACACCACGATACTGATACCATTATCATCTTAAGCAATATCTGTACGCCACCTTTGCGAGATATGTTTGTCGCCAAACACATAAAAGGTGCTCGTAATGACTGAGAAAGTAAATCAGCAAGCTAGCAAAGTCTCGAGTGTTATCAAGTGTCTTTGGTCATCATCGGTCCTGAACTATACTTAAGAGATGTGGTCATTCGTTCTTCTGGGTATTGTAGTGATAGCCTTAGTGATACCGACAAGCGAGGGCTTTATTAGTCTACCGAAGGGTGCTAAAGTCGATGGCAAGAAAAAGGTAGTATTGATAGAACACTGTTTGAAGCGCTGATTGTGTGCGCCGCTTCTCACAAATACGACGTGAGTTTGATTCCCGGGCTCGGTGTCGTATGTGTGTAGAGTTGGATAATTAGTTCTCTCCTGTACTTTGAGGGTTTTTTTCCGGTTTTCCTTCCTCCGTACTTGAAAATAAACTCCTAGATTCAATTCTATCTAGCGTCGAAAGCTTAATCATGAGCTTCTGGCTTGGGAGAGCTATATCACCTCCTGCAATCGACGTTGGTGTTGCACCTCGTAGGGGACAATTGTTCTTTTGTAGCACCTGCCTTATTGCAAATTATCTAAAATAATTAAACATATTTACATTTTCTATCTAAGGTTTTTTTTTTTTGTTGTTGTTGTTGTTTTGTTGTTGTTGTTGTTGTTGTTTTGTTGTTTGTTTTTTTCTCTTTGTTTTGTTTTGTTGTTGTTGTTGTTGTTTTTGTTTTTGTATTTTGTTCTTCGATTTTTTTAAAACAAACATTTTCTAATTCTTTATTTAACTTCAATTATTTCTACTTATGGGGAATAGTAGATTGCTACACTTAATCCTTAAAATAGTATTGATCCTTGGCACTAAATAGTTCAAAATATTACAAGAACGTCTATTATACGTTGTTTCCCATCGTTTCCCATCGCTTCGCATCGTTTTCCATCGTTTCCCATCGTTTCCCATCGCTTCCCATCGTTTCCCATCGCTTCCCATCGCTTCCCATCGTTTCCCATCGTTTCCCATCGTTTCCCATCGCTTCCCATCGTTTCCCATCGTTTCCCATCGTTTCCCATCGCTT